CCTATTGTTTGTGAACATCCTCCAAGTTGTCCAAGAACTGAATAAATTCCTTAATCCTTAAAGAAATGATGGAAGAGTGAGATGGAAATTATAGTACTTTTGGTTTTGTCAAGAATTGATAGGTATGCCATCAAAATCCAAGGCACAGGCTCAGCTGAAATTTCCTACATGCATGGAAATAAGCACCTGAGTATTGTTATCTCAGTTTCAAATGGTCATCTGGGCTCAAAATCTGAGCGTGCAAGCTTATCTGCTCTTGGCAGTACTCAATACTGATTAGGACTTAATTCTTGTTCAGATCAAGTTGTCCTTGTTCACTTCTTTGTGGTTTTGGAGATGTATGTTTCCTTTTATACTTTTCAAAATCCTTTAATTCTCCTTTGTTTTACAGGAAAGTAGAAACTTGGATTTAATTTGTTCATATGAAGCAAGTAGCAAAGTCAAAGCTAGAATTTATTCATTCAACAACAGAGCTTTAGGATGACCCATTTTCCAGATTATCTATTTATTCAATAGGTCATCATTACATATTTATTACAGTCAAATGTTTTGAGGACAGAGATGAATTTTGCAAGTTTGGAAACCAAACGTGTGTGTGTGTGTGTGTGTGTGTGTGTGTGTGTGTGTGTGTGCGCGCGCGTGCTAAGTATTATATTCAAGGTCTTATGAATGCAAGTTATATGCTCTGCCTCTGAGCTCTACCCCAAGTCCCCAGAATAGTATCATTTTTTTTCCTTAGGTACTGAGGATTGAACCAAGGGGGTACTTTACCACTGGCTTTTTTTTTTTTTTTTTCAAATTTTAAGTCAGTATCTCATTAAGTTGCAGAGGCTGGCCTTGGACTTGCAATCCTTCTGCCTCAGACTCTGGAGTTGCTAGGATTACTGATGTGTGCCACCATGTCTGGCTCAGAATGGGGACATTTACATTTCAAAACAACTCCTAGGGTTTATGTAATTTGGAAGATTGTAAGTCTATTTTCCAAAGAAATAATGAAGTTGACTCTTGGACTTGGGACTCATGCCTTGTTCTCTCTCCTTCCCTTTCTTATCCTCAGCTGTGTCCCTGTCTACTCGTAACTCCAACCCACAAGAGATTGATAGTATAGACTTAACTCAGTTAATGTTACAGACCTTGAAAATAAATATTCAGAGTATATTTCAAATTTTCACCAAATATTTTGCTTAGAAGATAGCAGGTGTATAAGAGGCTATGAAATTTTGTGAGTGATAAAATATTTGCAGAGTACTTGCGGATCTATCTGGTATTAAAAACAACCAAGTTGGGCATGATGGTGCACACCTGTAATTCCTGTACCTCTGGCAGCTGAAGCAGGAGGACTGCAAATTTGAGGCCAGCTGAGGGAGTGGCTCAGTGGTAGAGATTCTCTATGTTCAATGCCCAGGACAACAAAAACCAAAACCAAAACAACACAACCAATTACAGCTCATATTTGAGCCCTTCAACTTTTAATTTTTGTTTTCAATTTGTACTCCAACACTGTTAAAACATGGAACCAAGCAGATTTATAGCAATTCTGGCAGGTAGTTGTTAGACACCGATTTCATATGACTTTTTTTTTTTCAATAAATCTATATTTCCCTGAACTTGACACTTAGCATGTTATTCATTGTTTTAGAAGAAAAATGATTCTGCTGTTCTCTTGAAGTAGGTTAGCTTATAAAAATAGTGTTGTGGGGGGCTGGGGATATGGCTCAAGCGGTATCGTGCTCGCCTGGCATGCGTGGGGCGCTAGGTTCAATCCTCAGCACCACATAAAAATAAAATAAAAGATGTTGCGTGCGTCCACCGAAAACTAAAAAATAAATATTAAAAAAATTCTCTCTCTCTTAAAAAAAAATAGTGTTGTGGGCTAGATGGTATAGCTCAGTAGTAGAGTGCTTGCCTAGCATGTGCAAGGGGCTTGATCCCCAGCACTGCAAAGAACAAACAAAAAAAACCTGTTTTTTATAAAATGCTCAATTAAAATATGATAATTTCTGGGGTTGAGGGTTATTGCTCAGTGATACAGCACATGTTTAACATGCACAATGTCCTGGGTTCAGTCTCTAGCACCAAAAATGAAACAAAACCCACCAAAATGAGGCGAATCTCTCTTTTAGCAGCTAGGTGAAATTTCTTAACTATTAATCTCTGGTATTTTGGACAATATTACAAGCTTTTTTTTTTTTAAAAAAAAACATTGATGAAATATTTTAAAATAACCTTTCCCAAGTTTTAGTTTTTAAATCCTAAAGGAGTTCCTTTATCATCTAGGTTTATAAAAATGTCAGTTGTCAAATTTGATATTAAAAACAAGATGCCTCACATCCTTTGTGGAATAAGTCATAGTATAAATAAATTAGAACACCATGACCATTCTTCTGCAGTCTATCCCATTTGTAAATATTTCTCCCAGGCAGAGAAGACTTACAAATTTCCTCATATTGCTTGAGTATCCCCCCCCCCACTTTTTTTTTCCATAGTGGTGATTGAACTCAGGGCCTGCATCAGATGCATTTAATATTGTGGGTTGAATATTCAAAACAAAATGGGTAAAACCAATATTTTAGGACTGGTTTTTAAGGAATAAATCAGAGGAACTTTGGATATAATACATTTTATTGACATTAATCTCAGTTTAGCTAATATTCCAGTTTTTGCTTGTTTATCTGTATGATAACTTCTACTTTCATAGTGCTTATAATTTAAAACCTATCTTCATTTTTTCAGATCTTATAACAATCTTATTAAGAAGAGTAGTGTGTATGCGTATGTGTATGTGTATTTAAAACTTACATCTGAAGTACACATATATTTTATTCCCCTTCCTCCAAAATGAGGAGGTACAGATGGCTATTCAATGATCTTATGTCAATTTAGTTTGGTCTCCTCTGCTCCAAGAATTCCCCACTGCTCTGGCTGGAACACTATTAATGCTATCCTTCATACACAAAACATATCCACATTCGTAATAAATTCTATCTTTAATACACCCTTGAAGTCAAAGTTGGTGCTACTGATGCTGGTCAGCTTGGTGGGAGAGGTGTTTTGGTTCAGAATAGAGAATCATTCTGTAGAGATATGTTGATGAGGATCACAGATCAACTAAATGGTTGAACCACCTATCATTTCAGGCTGTTTGCTGCTTTCGGTGCTAGGAATTTGTAAGATGACTGGTAGTGCATGAAGAATTAAGTATGTAACAATCCTTCTGGGTAAAGTTGGTCTTATTCAGTTTCTTTTGTGGCCTTCAGAATTTAGGCAATCAAAAAGTGTAGGCCACTTTTGGTGCTGTAAATATTTTAGTTATTTATTTATGGATTCAGTGCTATTACTGGAGTATTGCAGGGTACAACAGAAAATTCGGAGAGGTTGCTTACATAAAATGTTTCCAAGCTAGGGATGTATAGCTCAGTGGTAAAGCACTCGCCTAACACAGCTGAGGCCCTGGGTTCAGTCCCCAGTACACTGTTTCAGCCAAACTTTGTACAATAAGACAACCTTGTATTTTATAAGACCATATACTAATATCAACTAGTTTATATGGAATAATTTCCTACCTTAGATACTTTGTGTTTAGTATCAAGGTTCATCAAGTACAGTAATAATTATCACAAAATGATAACTTTGAGCAAGAGAGCATATTTAGTGTACAAATCAGGAAATGCCACTATGCAGACAAAATCACTAAAGCATGCAAGTCAAAATGGATCATAGATAGTAACTTAGATTAGAAATCTACTTGATAGTGCAGCTTTGAAGTAAACTCACTGAATAGAAGCTCAATATATCTTTGAAAAAGCGTTAACTTAGAAGCTGTCCAGAAGTTTTGATACTAGACTAGCTCAACTGTGGACCAAACATGAAAACAGGCAACTCATTGCATTTGTTATTGGACATGTGCTTAGCATACTGAATTATGTTACAGGATCTGAGTTAAGTGGCAAATCTGCAATGGGTTGACGAAGAAAACACCTCTTGCAAATAGGGCAGGGGTTTTCTTGAGTGGCCTGGGGTGCTTTGGAGTATGCGTAGTAACTTACACCAGGTGTAGTTCTGCCCTCTAGTGGATAAGGATGCGAGAAGCATTCGTTCAACGGCTACTGTCTCTGGCTCACCAAGGCTTATTAAAACCAATCGTCCATCAAGAAGCATTAATAGGGGGTCTCTGTGAGGTGCTGAGCATGGGAAAGGTTAACGTGGCAAGAGACATAGCTAGCGGTCAACGGTAAGGTCTGTTCTTCAATTTCCATCGCCTGAGTACTATTCTCTAGTTGCTCTTTTAGCCTCTCTGGTTCCATACACTCGAAAGTAAAGGTCAGTAGTCTTTCCTCCAGTTGAGTTTGAACCTTTGCACTTCCATTATACATGGGTACCGAAGCACACCCCAAACCCAGTCAGAATTTTGTGAAGTAGCCCCACGGTGACCTGCTCTCACAAGAGTGAAGCGGCCAAGAGCAGGTGTTTTGCAAGGGAGGGTGCGAAGCGCCCGAGGACGTTCGCGGAGCTGCGGTGCAGGGCAGGAACACCCGCGCCTCTCCGCGATCACCCCATCCTCTGGCGGCCCTCCCCCCCGCCTGCCGACACTGTGACGGACGCCAGACGGGAGGGGCTTTCCCTGTCGAATTTGCTGAGAGCGTTCAAACGCCTCTGGGGCAGCGGCCATGACTGTGCCTGTCCGTCTGGCTCGACCCCACGGCCGCCTCCTGGGAATGCGTGGCCGGCGCGGGGGGCAGGCGGGCCTCCGACCCTCGCGCCCATTGGGTGTGTAGCACGGGCAGGCACCGTTCTGGGGGTCAGCGAGGAGCCGCCGCCACAAGGCAGGCAGGGACGAATCGGGCCGCCAACCCCTCGCGCCTTCCTACCAGACTACTCGGGCCCCAAACAGCGCCCATTCGGGCAGCCGACTGGGCCTTCGCTTCACTTCCGCCTTACTATCCGTGAGTGGGAATGCGCCTGCGCGCGCGCCTCTCGCAGCGGAAGTAGTAGCTACAAAGCTCGGTCCGCGGCGGGCCCGGGAGTGCGGGGTGCTCCGGGGCGGCCAGCGGCGGGGAGGGGCGGAGCGCAGGAGGCGGAGGCGGGAGCAGACCAGCGCGGTAGCACGGAGCCGGCGGGGCTGACCGTGACGGGCCCTCTCACCTCCTCTCCTTTCCCCTCCCCGCCCGCCGGTCTTCCCTCACGACTCCTGTCCTGCGCTGCGAGCCGCTCCTTTTCGCCTGAGGCGCGCGGGGCGCCCCCGCGAGCCCCGCGAGTGAGTCCTCGCAGCCCGGAGAAGGGGGTTCTGGGTTTTGGGTGGGTACTGGGATTATCTCCCGCTCCCATTTCTAGAAACTTCTAGGTCCCGAGGGAAGGGGGCGTCCGGGGATGCCCTGGCTGTAGAGCGTTTCTGGGGCACCGCCCCGCCGGTGTGAGCTGGGGCGTCGCGGGAGGGAGAAGGGGCGGGCGGTCGAGGAACCTGGGGGCTCCGGAGGTGGCGGCTGGGCAGGGGTCGCCCTCCTCTGCCTCTCTCGTCAGCTCCGCTTCTCCTGATTTCTCTTGCAGATGCAGCTGCTAGGGGTGGTGGGAGCAGCCGTGGGACGCGTGGCCGGGAGCGGGGGTGACAGCCTGGGATTCCGGGGGCTTCTCTTCCTTGTCCTCCTCTCCTCTCTATTCCCAGTGTGGCCGTGGCTGACACTAAAGACTTTGTAGCCATCAACTCGAGTGCAGTTTCGATGGAAAATGAAGGTAAAGGGCCCTGGTAGATGGGTTGCAACGCAGAGTTGAGGGTGTGGTGGTTTGCCTTTAAGTTGTCTTTTTCCACCTTTTTATTTTCGTGATTTTATTTTATTTTTCTTTGCTTGTAAAGTGTCCGAGGATTTGCTTTCTAAGGGTACCTAGCTTCTATATTGGTAACATGGGCATTTCAGGGATTAGTGTTCTGTGGGTGACAGTATGATTTTCCTTTCCTGGGAAATTACAGTTTTCTTTAGCGTAGGAAATGGAAAGGAAGTTTTCATTTTAGCTGGCATCTTGCATGTTTAAACGGACATTTGAAAGGAATCACTCCAGGAGAAGTGGAAACAGGAAGGGGAGGGGATGGATTTTATCTGTATATTTGCATATCAAGCCCTGATATCTTGTGTGACTACATTGATTTATAAGAAAGAAAATAATTTTTAAATCTTTAGCTTTGGGGGGAAAACTCATTGTCTTTTGGTGTACACACACACACACACACAAACAAACACACACAAACGCCAAAAAAAAAAAAAAAACACCCAAAACCTCTTGTGTTTTCTTGTGTTTAATGAAATCTTAAGAGGTGATTTCCCTTTTTAAAGTTCCACCCTATTTCAAAACATCCTTTAGGAGGTTGACAGTGGAACCTGTTTGAACACATTAGATTCCCATTCATGTTACTTGCTTTGTTGGGCATTTTAAAATATTTATAAAGATTTTCATACACAGCACTGGTATTTTAAAAAAATTGTTGAAGAATTCTGAAAAATATTTTTTTTCCCTTTCTGGAACATCACTTTGGACTGATTTCTGGCTTGTGTGTAATCATCCTCCCGTCTCCCCCTCAAACCCTCTCCATACAATAAAACATACTTAAATTACAGTTTTCTGTCTTGTATCTTTTGGTTTTTGAAATCTGTATCCGATGCAGAGGATCTGTGTTTGAGCTGCTGCTGCTTCTAATTTGTTTTTTCCATTGTTGAGAGTGAAGCCTGATTGTCTAAGTAGGACTAGTAATTTTAAAATGGATTTTTTTTTTTTTTTTAAGATGCAGTAATCTATAATGCTGAGACCTCTGGGATAAGTAGGAAGTGTGATGAAAAGCAAGATTATATTGCCCATTTTTACTCTGGGTGGATAATTGCTGGAAGACATTTTCTGAAATACTAAAGTGTATAACTGTAGAGGAGTTATACTGTCTAATTGAGTCTTCAGAAATAGCATTTGAAAGCAGTGATGTTTTTGTCTGATGATATGGGAAAATCATTTCTATGAGCCTTTTATCTCTTTGTCTTTAGTTTACAGACTTAAGAAAAGGATTATTTTTTTTTTGCAAAATACAATATTAAATATACATGTTACTTGGTAGAAATATCTTAACATTTAAAACACTATGTTCATGAGCTTTTATTTTCAGAATGTTACCAAATTTAAGAAAGTAGCCTAAGTAGGTGGATTCTTAGCTTTTGGCTTTCTTTCTTGATGTCTTAGGAAGAAAAGCATGAGTAATAAAGCTGACTCTCATTATCTGCTGAGGTGGGAGGGGGTGGTTGTGAGATAGAAGCATGGTATATGCTTGTTTCTGTATTTTATGGCCAAATATTAATGATGTGTCTTCATATTATAAAACTATATGAGTCTTATTAACAACTTGTGATGCTTTCTACCCCATTATTTTTGACCATCAAGAGACTATTTTTGTCAATTTCTCACTACCATTATGTTTTTTTCTTTTTCATATGTAAATATTTTTAAAGAACTTGTGTTTATCCTAGAATTTTTCAAGAGCTATTGATCATCTTAAAATACATACATCACTATTTCTTGCCTTTTTAAAGTTTTGACTTAATGCAGTATTGGCAGTTTGGAAGTATGAAACAAAAATACATTCAAATGTTGCCTTAAATATTGAAATTCTTAATTATTTTAGGCAAATTACTTCACATTTTTGAGCTTCTATTATCCTTTTAGTTGGGACTGAAAATGTTTAGCTCATAAAATTGAGAGAATTAAATGAGAAATACTGTGTAAATTATCTTTGGTGGGGGGAATAGAGTTTAAGAGTATGGGTTGTGGAATTAGGCAGTCTTATTTCAATACAGAATCTCTGCTTAATGTTATTTGGCCTTGTACAAATTATTAAAGCTTTCTGTGCTTCAGCTTCTTCATCTGTAAAAATAAAGATAATGATAGAACTTACCTTGCTATGAGATGGTTGTAAGCATTTAAACAGTGTCTAGCATACACTAAATGCTCAGTATATGTTAACTGTAAATAGACTGCTGCTTGATACATACTAATGTGCCACCTGAAAAAAATGTTGTTAGGACAGTTGAATGTTGTTCAGTGGTGGCCAAAATGCTCAAGATGAATATGTCATTATTAAGTGACAGGTGGAGTTAAGTAAGGAATTTTCTATAGTTCTAGTGCTTTAAGCCTATAGGAAAAATAAGCCTACCAAGAAGCCAGAAACCAGTGTAGATAAAGGTGTTTTTTTCCCCTTCTAAAAAATTGTTTTCTCAGTTTCTAAGTTTAATCATCTATAATTGAGATAATTCCTTCTTGGAGGGTTGGTGTAATAAATGAAATCTGATATGCAGCCTGGCCAGAATAGTGGTTGGCACCCAGCTTTCATGAGTGAGTGAATGATGCTATTGTTCTCCAGAAACAGAACTCCAGGAGGTCCACAGATAAGTTATATCTAGGTGAGAATGGTATAGTAGATCCTTAGAGCATCTCTGTGGATGTTCTTAAGTAGTGTGTCATATCTACAGTGGTTACTTTTTAGGAGGAAATGGCTTCATTCATGTACCTTCCCTTCAGCAATGGTGATTTTTTTCTTTTTTCTTTCTTTCTTTCTTTTTTTTTTGGTGCTTAAGTTTTGATTCTTCTGGACCTTTCTCCCACTTTGTCAGCAAAGCTTTTAGCCAAAGTCTTCAGGATGTTTCATGAATACTTAGTGCCACACTACAAGCATTTGAAATGCTAATTTCCTGGAATTTCAGGGACTGGTCCTAGACATCCATTTGTGAAGAAGGATTTTATCCATGACCCGAACTCCTTACATGTTTGTCACAAGTTTAAATAGTTACCACTTAGTAATCTGAGATACACAGGTAAACAACTGTTTTTCTTAGTTATAAAAATTGTTGGTATGTTTAAAGGGTTGACTTATTAGAAAAGATATTTCTACCTGTAGAATTTTGCAAAAAGTTTTCTATTCCTAATGAATTATTCTTTAGAATAAATTGGCCTTAGAAAACCCATTGTAAATTTCATGCTCATGAAACTATTTACTGTTGCTTAAATGTCTTTGACTAGTGGATAGAAATACAATATACTTTAAGAGTTTGAGACATAGTTGATTTAAGATTATAGGCAGAGCTGTTAGGTCTAGAAAATAATCCATCTCTTTTGGTGGCAATTGATAGTAATAGTATTTACTTTTTAAAATAATGTCTTACTCAGTTAAAATTCTTAATCATCTAGGAATGTCTCAAAAAAAAGACTATTAGGATAATTGGTAAAAGAAAGAAAAAGAAAACCACCTTTTACATTCCCTAAACTGGAAATAGGAAACCACGTTATAAAGATATTATATATGTTTAAATCTGAAAAATGTAATCTATTTTATTTGCAGCTTTGTCAGTAAAGTATATAAATGTATATGTATATACATTTGTATATATACACACAGTAATTTAACCCAGAGAAAGGATTTTGAAGAGATTATTATTTGTTAGCAATACAGTTGAATCCTAAGTACTTGATTTGTCTTAATATTTTTATCATCATTTACTGTCAGCAGAATTCATTTCTCTGAACTGAAGCATCATGAAACAAATAGTTTCCTAGGGAACACACCCCTTGGGTCCAAGAGTGATTTTTCTTTTGAGATCTTAGTTTACTGTGATATGGTTTATAAGGTTAAATTTTATTTTTGAGATGGAAAAAACATCATGGCTTGGTAAAATTAACTGGGGTGAATTTTAAATTCATTGTTCTTACATATAATATCTTAAAGATATCTTAAGTATCAGCTCCAGAGGTTGCTGTAGGTTTACTTTGTTAAGAGACAAATTTCTTCTGTAATTGTTTCAGGAATCAGTTATGACAAAATTATCTTTATGCTTTTCCTATTCACAAGAGTTGGTAAAAGACAGTAAAATTAAAAACTGGTTGAGTGAACTGTTATGTTAATGCCATGATTTCATATAGGAAAGGATTTCTCAAAAAAAAGAAAGAAACTTAGAATACTTTTCTCCTGAATTTTTATGGCCAGTGTTTATATACATTTGTTAATACATCATCTGTCTTTAGGCCCTAAGTTGTTCTTGACAACATAAAATTGGAATTAAAAGTAAATTACTCCACTTGTGTTGAATGAGGTTAGTTTTATGCAAAGCTTGTGATACATTTAGAAAAAGTTTGAATGAAATACTAAAGCCTGCCATAGGTTATTGTCAATAGAACAGTGATAGTAAGGGTCAGGACCATTATCTTAGGGTGCCTGTAACTGGCTTCTAGTTCAATTTCAGTCTCTACCTTTTTTTTTTTTTTTTACCCTGTGACAGACGTTAGAGAATATGTGAATTGGAATTATTTAATAAGCCTGTTAATTATACTTTATATATTTTTTTAAGTAAGGCCTTTTGGTTTGAGATTTGATCATTTCATAAACATGCTGACTTAAATTTGTGCCCCACCCCCCCAAGAGGAAATGCAGCAATTTAGTACTATATTCTTAGAAAGCTCTAAGACGTTGAATTATAGTTACAGAAATTATTTATTTACCTACTTAAAACAATCTTATAGTTAGTATAGCAGCAGAAACTTAAATACTGAATGCATTTGCTGCTCTACACAGTGGTTTGATATTCAGCTTTGTATAGGAAAACTGAAGTGGAAACATTTAGGATGTTACCTATCATCTTTTTTTTGAACTTTTTTTTTAAAATCTGAAATATAAGTTAAAAATTTTGATTAGTTTATGCATCTCAGATTGA